CGCGTCAGCCGGGCTGTCCTGCTCGTGTGTCTCACGCCCGGAGTGTCAGAGCTGATGGCGGGTGCAGGAGGAGGATGAGGGCAATGACTCTGTAAATAACCGCACTGTTAGTTGTGCTTCCCCCTGTGTGACCGGAGCGGATGCTCTAGATTTTCTTGTTCAGCGTGTTCACAGGAAGTGACAAAAGCAGGACAAAACCCGGTGTGAGCTTCAGACGGGCCACCTGAGTCTGAAAATGGAAGTGTGAGTGACTCTGCCAGAGCACTCGTTCCTGTGTGCAGCTCTTTCCTCCAATAAAGCCCTGTTCGTTTCTCTCTCTGATGCAGCACAGCGAGATCACACACCCAGCAACCCCGGGCTGCCATCTGAACCCAACCCCAGCTGCCTGGTCCCTGCAAGATGCCAGCAGCCCTTGCAGAGAACAGCCAGGTTATCTGTGAAGTATGGGCAAACAATCTGGAAGAAGAGATGAGGAAAATTCGAGAGATTGTTCTAAGTTACAGCTACATTGCCATGGTAAATGTTTTATACCTGACCTAATTGTCCTAGTCAAGGGTTTTTTTCTGTGAAAGAGGAATAAGCTGATTCTTGAGCAAGCCATAATTTCTCCCAGCCCTGTTGAAACTGAGCTAGAAGTAGTGAAAAATTAGGAAGTGGTTCAGTAGGAGCTTTCCAGAAGTTTTGACTATGGATTGAATGAAAGATGGGGAGACAGGCCACCTTAAAAACCTGAATTAGTTTATTATTTAGCTGTTCATAATGTATTAGTTTATGCAACAGAAAATTAAACAGGTCAGATGTACAACTGAGTTTGAATATGTGTTTTTCCTTTGAATGTCTTTGCCTGTTTGGTTATGGAAGATGCCACGGTCCTGTAGGACAAAAGACCTGCAAGTGACAGTCAGCTGGGCTGCCTCCTTTTTAATGGGGTCAGATGTTGATTCTTACAGAAGGAAAAGAATCTGGCTGTGTGTTCAGAAAGCTTTGTTTGAGGATCTCCCCCAGGTGGGAGGAATCTCTTCCTGCTCTTTCAAGTCTTTTATCTGCTTAGCAACAGCCAATTGGTTACTTTAATAACTGGTTTTAATTATGATACTGTAAATTATGCTAACTTGGCTGAGGAGCAGTAAACTTGAAGATATGAGAAGCCTTTAATAAAAACAGGGCATAAAAACATCTGCCCCTGCAGAGTTTGTGGTTGAATGCTGTGGTGTAAGTTAATATGATTTTTTTTGTTGTTACCACATGTCAATGGAAAATTAGATTTCTTGCGTCTGTTTGTTCTCATGGCAAGTGTGGTGATGGCCTGTTTTATAGGTCATACAGATCTCTAGACAAACCTTGGGCAAGGGAGAGGTTTTGTCACAAAGCGCTGGGTTCTTCATGATAAATTTTTGCACAAGCTCTAGGCAGTAGAAGTTACATGGCCTGATCTGAGAGCAAAAGTAGTCCAGAAGTTTGGCTTTCAGCAAAGACAGGACAGAGTCACTGGCCAAGTAAAATGTTTTTCTTCTGAAAGATGGTTGCTCTGCTGTTAAGATCTGTTTTGATTGGCAGGAGTTTTTGTTCATGTGGTGTTGGCTGTTCCTCAAAAGCAGTGAAGTTTATCACTGTCTGGGCTATTGAATGAACAGGTCCAGAGTGCTAAATTTAGCTTGTATTTAGAACATAAAAGAACAATGAATAAATAATTTAAAAGTCCATTTTAGTATATTCAAGGAAAATGAGAGAATCCTTTGCAAGAGAGAGGTGTTTAGATTATACAACAGTGCATACATGACTGTATAACATTTTTGTTTTGGAATGAAAACTGCAAGAAAGGTTACTTGTAATAAATTGCTTAATGTAATAGTTAATAAATTGTGTGGGATTTATTTTAATGTCTGACTTGTAGCAGTTTAAAATCTGCATGAATATGGAAAATGAGGGAAAAAAAGTTATTTTTCCAGCAGAATTCACAGAATGCACTGCTGGGACCTGCTGAGTAGATTCTTAACAGTGATAGTAATGACTCCTAGCAGAGTGAGTGGTGAAGTGAGGTTTTCCCTTCTCTCCCCAGGACACAGAGTTTCCTGGAGTTGTTGTGAGGCCAATAGGTGAATTCCGCAGCTCCATTGACTATCAGTACCAGCTCCTTCGCTGTAACGTTGACCTTCTGAAAATTATCCAGCTGGGCCTGACTTTCACAAATGAGAAAGGGGAATATCCCTCTGGCATCAACACCTGGCAGTTTAACTTCAAATTCAACCTTACGTGAGTCTCTTGAGATACTGAGTAATTGCCTCCTCTGTTTTGCTGAAGCGATGCTTCTTTGGCAAATGCAGGTGTCCCTATCGTGGTATCATAGAACGTCTTGGGTTGGAAGGGACCTCTAAAGGTCTTCTAGTCCAACCCCCCTACAATAATCAGGGACATCTCACACTAGACCAGATTGCTCAGAGCCCCGTCAAGCCTGACCTTTACATGATGATCATCAGTGCCTGGTTCTGAGCAATAAAAATTCAGTTTCTAACACAGATTATATGGGAATGTATTTTGGCATGACAGGAGCTTGGCCATATTTCTTAGTCAAGTATTACACAATTTTGTTTACTCCCAGAGAGGCAATTAGAGATGATGGGCTGGTGGTACGTGCTGTGAAAAAGAAAAACGTAGATGGGAATGATGCTCAGAGCTTTGGAGTTTCATGTCTTCCTGCTTGGGGGAATTCCTGTATCCATGCTCTCGCCTGTGGTGCTTCTGTTCACCTTGCAGAAGTGATATTTTTAAAAACATCAGTTCTGTGGAGGGTGATTCCTTGGAATTTGCACAAACAACAGAATTATTACCTAGTTAGTAGAGTAGCTTGTTATGGATGTAGGAGGTTGTGTTAGTGGGATCAAAACTGATTCCATTTGAATTTTTTCTAGAGGGACTAATGTGGAACCCAGAGAGAGCCTACTGGCCAGTCCAATTTTTTTAAATACGGTTGGGGGAATTTTCCTAAAATGAGCCTGACTTGTTAGTACCTGGAGTGCAAAGCTGCTTTTCTCCTTCAGGGAGGACATGTACTCTCAGGATTCCATAGACCTCCTAGCCAGCTCTGGGCTGCAGTTCCAGAAGCATGAAGAGGAAGGGATCGATACCCTGCATTTTGCTGAGTTGCTTATGACATCCGGGGTCGTCCTTAGTGACAGTGTGAAGTGGCTGTCCTTCCACAGGTAGGTCTGAGATGGTCACTGAGAAACCTCTTTTTGATTCAAATGCTGCTGCTTTTGTCTGTGGAGACTGACATAGAGGAGAGGAATGAGCAGCTCCAGAGTTCTTAAAAGAAGCTTAAAGACTTAAAGGCCAAATTTAAGAAGTAAGAACACTTGGCACATCATTTTGTACTTGCACTTTTTGTGGTCTGAATTTTGCTTATGCCTTTCTTGCAAATCCTTTCACTATTCGAGGCTTCCTCTATGGAGTAGGTTACTACAAAGTGTAGGAATCACATTTCAACTTGTTAACTTTTATGCACTGTAAAGCACAGTTTTGTTTCTTCTTCCTTACAGTGGTGGTGTTCTCAGCTTCCCTCTTGTGTTTGCATACAGAAAGACATCTGTGTAGTGAAGGTGCCTTTCTTGTAGTGTTTCAGGCAACTTGGATGACAAAACCCCTGGTCCTTGATATCATCTTAAGTGAAAGGACTTGAGGGAGGAGGAGGTGATGGTGGCAGGAGATATTTACAGGGTTTCCTGCTTTTCCATAGCTACAGAAACTTGCATTGTTGGGAAGAAAAGTAGGTTTTTCCCCATGGCTTAGCTGTTCTGCAAGAGGTTAATGGAGGCACCCAGGGAGCATTCAGAAGTCCCACATTGACACAGATGATCAGGATGAATTCTGGCTCTGATCCAGAGCAGTTTTATGAATGTGAGAAAATGTTAAGGTTTGAAAGCTACAGCATATAAAGCTCTTGTGGAAAATGAGATATTGGTGTTGACTGAGCGTAGGTGTTTTCTGTTCATTTGGTTTCTTTGTTTTTGTTTTCAGTGGTTATGACTTCGGCTACATGGTGAAGTTGTTGACAGATTCCAGGCTACCAGAAGAGGAACATGAATTTTTCCATATCTTGAACCTTTTCTTCCCATCTATCTATGATGTAAAATACTTAATGAAGAGCTGCAAAAACCTCAAGGTACTTGTATCTCCCTAGCAAACAGGTGATGAATAGGCAGCCACGCTGTAAATATACAGGAGGCCAAGTGACAGAACTGCACAGATCAAGTCTTAAAACTGGAAGGTTATAAAAGTTAATGTCAGACACAAACACCTGTGACTAAGTTTGTATCTAGCAGATTCTGCCTCCTCAGTTTTAGACTTGGCAACATATGTATTTTATAGGGACAATCCCATAACCTTCTGGTTTGTGTATGAGTAATTGTGTATGAGGCTAATTATAATTCAGCATGCTTATCTTACCTACACAAGGCAGAGTATTTCTTCTTACACAAACTACTATATGACTTGATTAACCAGTGGACAATCAGCAGGTTGAAAGTAATTTATCTGCTGACTAACAGCCTTGTGTGAGGGAAGGGGGGGAAAGATCCAGCATTTGTAACCTATGAATGTACCCACAGTCATCTCAAGTATCCACAGCAGGAAACCAAGGTACCTAAATGTGAGTGTTCATGCATTTTTGAAGAGTGGTGACCACTGTGTTCACTCACAGCTGGTCTGCGTGCACTGTGGAAGTCTGCATCAATTCACCTTAGCCAGTGTTTGCTCTCACATTTTGGAGAAGTGTGGCAATTTTGGTAAGAGATGGGTCTTCCAAAATAAAATCTGTTCTGTTCTCATTGCAGGGTGGCCTTCAGGAAGTGGCAGATCAGCTGGATTTGCAGCGAATTGGACGACAACACCAGGCAGGATCGGACTCTCTTCTCACGGGAATGGCATTCTTCAGAATGAAAGAGGTAGTGCAGTGTTCTTTCTCTGCCATCTTTCAGTTCCTATCCATAAATGTCAGCATGCACAATGTGTGTTTTTGTTTTGGCGTTTGTTTTGGTTGCGTGGGGTTTTTTTTGTGCCTTGTGGTCATCACATTTCAAACTGTCAATAACCAACATTGTTTCTACTGGCACAGACTTGTTCTGTTTATTGCTCTTTCATGTGCTTATTTGAATTTGCGTGCAAATCTAAGAGGTGGCTGACTTCACATGAGCTGTTTGTTTAACTTAGAAGAACAATTCAACAATACCTGTTTCTTTCCTTTTTTTTTAATTCTGCAGTTGTTTTTTGAGGATACAATTGATGATGCAAAGTATTGTGGGCGACTGTATGGCCTTGGCACAGGAGTGGCTCAGAAACAAAATGAAGATGTGGACTCAGCCCAGGAGAAAATGAGCATTTTGGCTATTATCAACAACATGCAGCCATGATACAAGCAGTACCCCTCAGCAGAATGTGGTCACCATATTGGCAGCTGCTCTCCTCAACCATTTTTCCCAAGTGTCTCCAAGAAAAGGCATCTACAGAATCCAGCCTGCACTTTTGCTGAAGAGCTGCATCTTCATTTGAAACCCAGAAGAAGAGAGCTGACTGAATTTCCAATGCCAGCATTTGTGGTTTGCCATCTTTTTAATACCCAGGGCAAAAGACAGAACCTCCTGTGTATACCTCTGTTTTTTCCTCTTTATACTGTACAGAATCTGCAAGGAAGACCTTAACAGTAGAATATTTAGTAGTGCTAAGGGTCTGGAAATCCAGTGAAGATGGACACAGACATGCACACAAATTTGTAAATTGTGCTTTATAAAGCTTATTTTAAAACTTCTGCATGTTGTGAGGGTGACTGCTTCACCTCATGTTTGCTTATTTTATCTTTGTGTAGTCTGTGAATATTGCTCCCTTTGATCACTGCAGAGGTTTGGGAATGGATGACAATTAAAAATGATCCTTGCAGCTAAAAATATTCAGAGATTTGCTTTAACAACAGTGGGAATAGATATTACTGGAGCTGATTAAGTTCTCCATAGTTTCTAATTCTGTTTGGTACAGGTTTGACCCATACTGAGCCTCAGCTTAGTTCTTATGGGTATTAATAAACTGTTCTGGAAATAGACTAAGAGGCCTAAAAGTTCACCTTTGATAGGGGACTGGACCAGTATTCTGACTTCAGTTTTGCTTCAATTTAACCTATAAATTTTAGTCTTCTTGCACCACAAGTAGTTCAGCAGATGGGTAAATATTTGTTCCTCTTCTGCCCCCTGCCCCACTTCTCCATACCTAATTTTTACACGTGTAACAACAAAGCAGCTCCATTTCTCTTCATTATAGACATCTGAAAAGTAGTTGGAGGATGGAAGAGCAACTTGGGCTTCTGACTTTTTAAAAAACGAGCTGTTCTATAGTATCCTTTTTTTCCCAACAGCTCTGTAATGACATTTCTTAAAAGAAAAAAAAAACACAAACCCTTTTGGACATGGCAAACTTAAAATGTTAAGACTTTATCTTGCATTTTAAACAAGCCTAAACAATCGTTATTGAGAGTTGAGGTTTAGGAGCTGTATTTAAAATGCTTGTAAATACTACCTGTTTTTAATTTTTTGTAAAATAAATTTTTTTAAACCAGGCCTTGGTTTGGATTTTCCATCAAGCACTAAAATTGGCAAAGGTCAGGCTTTGGAATCAATTTGAGCTCTAATTTCTCAACAATGCTCAAGTTTCTTTCTTCTTTTATGATTTATTATATGTTACTGGGGTAGGTCTTAGTAAAATCTGCTTTTGATCTTACTGTACAGTAGCTAATGGAAGTTGACCTTAGGGTTTCTTTGGGGGACTTGTTCTCTCTCAGCTCCTCCCTCAGCACTGAGAGTGACAAATGCGTTTTGCTCACCTGTCCTGTGTGAAGTTTTCCTGCTCCATCTAAACTTCTGTGGTTCTTGCTTCAAGTGAAGGAGGGCTGTTTGGTTAAGCACTAGCTCCCTCTCCTGGTTTTTCTTTCAAGTACTTTGTACAGAATTTAGCAAATTCAAGTTAGTGGCAACAGATCACAAACACATCTACAGAAGGATCTTCTTTCAGTATCATCCCTGGCTTTCACCTGCTGCTCTTCAAGGTGTTCTGAGGCTTTACTCATCTTGGAGCAGGACATTTATCAGTATGAAGTCTGTGTTTTGGCCGGAATAATCTGGAACAGCTCTTGATCTAAAAAAAATTCCATCCCTACTTTTCTTTTTTTTCCTCAATCTTTACTGTACTTACAAAACTTTCTAAATTCACGACTCCTCCCAACCTACCATGAATTTTTCTGCTGCATTTAAAAACTTGCTTCTAGAAATTACTAAAACTGATGCTATGTTCACTAAGGCCTATGCAACCTTGTTCTTGGGAAGAGTGTTTTTCAGGTAAGTTGAAAGACTGGTCAAAATGTTCTATGTTCAGGACCCTAGACAGGACTGGTTTTGGCACTTTTAGAAGAGCAGCCTTTTAGAGAACTCAGTACCTCAAATTTACCTTCTGTTTCTTCAGACACTGATGTTGCCAAAAGCAGGGACTTCTACAGACCTGAAAAATTCCCTGATCTCTTGCTAGTCTTGCTGGAAACAAAAGATCTTTCCCTCCCTTTTTTGTATTGGTGGTTTCACCACACAAAGCTAAGTCATAGGTTACAAGTCATCCATTTATTTTATCTACTGGTTGTTTAGCATAAAAAAGCTACAAACCACGCTTATTTTTAATGCATTTGCCATTGACTGATGCTGGTTTATATCAATCAAATTAAATACCAATTCATGGTGGTAGAAGTCTTTATTTTTAGGAGGGGAAAAAAACTCACAATGCTTTTAAGAATAATAGTGTCTAAAGAGTCAGTTTGCTTACAGAAACCATTGTTTTTCCTGGGTGCAGCTGCTCTTCCTCCTGTGCTGAAAGACCAGTGTAGCTGCTCAAAACTATTTCTCTTACATGTAAACAGCAAGAGCTCCCATTAGCACAACTTCCAACAAATAAAAAAAGACCATACAAAAGTCCTGCATACAGGATACTGCTCTTCAATTTCCTAACACCATCTCCCTAAGTAGTAGTAACTGACAACCACAAGTGAGTCTTAAATAAACCTGATTTTTTGGGTAGTTTTATCCAAAACTACCACAGCCATCAAAACGAGCCTTTGCTTGCAGACAGAACAGCCTTGGTGTGAAGTAGCTGTAGGCAGCTCAAAGACGACAGTTTGGCTTCAGTGTCATGTCAAGAACCTCCTGCCAGCCTTTTGGTGAATATCGGCACTACCGTGTTTCCTGAGGAGATCCAATGCCTGTTCCTGTAGTTCAGGAGGACACTGGGATCCAAGGTGAAGGAGAACAAGGCAGCACTCCAGGACGTCGGGGAATGGGAAGACCTGCAAAAAAAGGAATAAAAGGTAATGCTGACTTCTTTAATTGTAACTATCTGAATACAACATATTCAGGCAACCAGCTCTCTGAAGACATTACTTTATAGTTTCTTTGAAACAGTTGTGAGTCAGATGCATTTTTTCCTCTTTCAGTGCATTAGCTCACCCTTAACCAGGTTTTCCCCCTCTTGCATCATCACCTTTGGTTATATTATAAAGAGGGGATAAGACAGCCTAGGAAAGATTGTTTTCAAATGTGTGGTGTAGTTTCTACAGTTTCTACTTTATACCCTACATTTCTGCTTTCACTGTTTATCAAAGCTTTGTATATATAATTCTAAGTAGCAAGGGATTATTTTTAAAATGCATGGGAGAGATTAATATAAAGTATCCCATCGAGTTCTCCCCTGCAGTTCTACCTACACTTTCCAGCTGCATGAATGAAGTTATGCTTGAAAGAAAAATATAATCCTAATGCTGTGGGTCATTTTTCTCTCTAATTTGCTGTAGAATCACTAAGAAAGTCACTGTTCCTTAACTTCCAGTATGAAAGGGATTCTATGATGAGGCTGCTCTTCCAAAAAGACTGTCTTTCTTCAGAACCACAATGCCTTTCCTGAAAACTTACCTTTAAATTGTCCGGAAATTCTGCTAGTTTCTGCTTTGCTTTTAGAAGCTGCTTCGTTAGCTCAGGGAGTGTAATTGGTTCCTGTACTTCATCTTTACTGTAAAGAAAAGAGCAGGTGTTGTGAGTGCCTCTTGCTTAAATGACTTCCCAGCCTCTCTTCTGCACAGGGAGCACAGGAGAGCATTCGACAAGTGTTATATGCTCTAGCTTGTTCTTGGAAATTCCCAAATAATTGTTCCAGCAAAAAGACAGACCTCTTGGATCATGCTTGTCCTTTTTATTACCCTCCCCTTTTCAAGCTGTCCTGTTTTTTTTCCCTGGCACACCAACACACCCTGTGTATCAGGAAGTTATTCAGTTCTAGTGAGTTTATGCACAATAGTTCAGCCCCAGAGAAATGCAAGACTTTTGAGCCCTATGTTGAAGCATCCCTGGGTGCCAAGCTTGAAATTAGAGGCAATTTGAGCTACACAACAAATTTGCTGCACAAACACAAAAAAAAGCAATGCTTTTCAATCTGTTAATTCCTGTTCTGAAGCTTACCAATTCACCTGGCTGCTGTCAGAGCATGGTTTGTCTGATTCAGTTTCTGTACTCTGCTGCAGGTTGGTTTCCTGGGTGCATCCATTTTTGTTTTCCTGGAGACTGTTCCTCTGCTGCTGATGCTGGTGGATCATATCTGCTAAAATCTTCTGGACCTTGGCTATATCTCTCTGGGTGTTCTGTAAAGCAGCAGTCTCTTCTGAAAGAAGCACTTTGCAGCCATTCAGTTTTGACTGTCTGTCTACCAAATCAACTGAGCTAGTTCTTGAGTCACTTTTAATCTCACACTGAAGAACTTCAGTTGTGTTGCAGAGGTTTTCATCCATTGCAACTGCAGTTTGATCACGAGTTTCTTCAGAAGAGGACTGACCTGAAATGTAAGTCTTCTCAGGAGCTGTCAGCTCACTGGGACACAGTGCAGGTTCTGAAATGGTCTTTTGCAAGACAAGGGAATCTTTGAGTGGGTTCCACCACAGGTCATACAGCAGTCCATAAGCCACAAAGGCCTCTAAACTTCTGGAAGCATCCATGCTCTGAGAATTTGTGCTGTCCAATTTGTGTCTGAGGTTATCACAGCCTAATAATGAAAAAAAAGGATTACAAATGGCTTCTAGAGATTTCCACATAAAAAGATCAGATGTGGTGAACAAACTGCTTATCCTAGAGACCCAAACCAGAGAGTTCTTCAGATGCTGGCAGAGTGGTGCAGGAAGCAGGAAAGCAAAGGCAGATACCTTTGGCATCTTGTAAAGCACAATACTCTGTTCTAGCTATCATGAGAGTCCATGTTCATATAATGTACAGCAAACTTCCTTGGTCCCAAGCTCACATCAAGATATTCACATGATCAAGAGCAACAAAACAAATGCACTCTGCAGAGAAAGAAGGAAGGGGCTAGTTGGAGTGATCTGTAACTATGAGATGAAAACAGCTTTCCAGTGTCCCCATCTCCCTTACAGAACAGAATTTCCTCAGTTTCCTACATCAACCACACCAGCTGCCACTGCTGAACTTCCTTCCACGGTCAGGAATTCTGACAACAGCCCTTGCACTAGCTAAATTCCACAGGTTTCCATATATATGGGAATGTCTTGCTTCTTCCAAGCCATGTGCCTATTAATGTTAATGGCCACACATCTGTGCCTACAAGGAAGATCCCCGTCTGTCAGTGCCAGGTGATACACAAGAAGAGCCTTACCTTCAGGAAGGATGATACTGCAAATGTCTTGCATCAGAGTGAAGTTACCAGCATCATAACTGCGAGTCACAGCTCCAAGAATACTTTTCACTGCCTCATCCCAGGCACCAATGTGATAGCTCAAGGCTGCAAGGGTCAGGTCATGGGATATATGGAAGAGCACCTGAAGGAAGCACCAGAGAGCATCAGTTTTACTGCAAAGTATGAATTACTTACAGCTTATGACTGTTGTGGGAGAGCCCAGAAGCACATGACTTCACCAAAAGTAATGTTAAGGACAATGCAATTTACAGTCTCCTCCATGCAGGACACTGAGCACTTTTACATTACTTCTAACTGTACAGTTGGCACGTGTGCAACTAAACAGATGAGAAGTGGGAGCGCCCCAAAGCTCAGTGACTCGTGGTCAAGAGCAAAGACCTGCAGAAACACCAACCTATGAACAGACCTTCAGAACTCCAGGACGTTTTAACAAGCAGCCCTGCCTCTCCTAACAGCTCTCCAGAAACCCCTGAATCACTGCTGAGACTACTCAGCTGTGCCAACCACTCTCACTCAGCCAGCACATCTTGGTGATCTCAGTGCAACAAATGCAGAAACAAACTGGTGGCTATGCCAGCCATCCTAGCTGCACATTGTCTGCTTCTCCTGAACCAAAACCTCCTCCTGCAGCAGGGTGCAGGCATCAGTCCCCTGGGAATGGCTGGCCCAGCATCCCACAGTGGCTGCATTTCACTGGGTAAGCTGTAGTAAGGCCAAGAGTGTGTGCAGATGTACATCCATTTACCTGCTTTGGGTGCGTGTTGCTGGTAGAAGGAGGATGCTCAATACTGCACAGCTGCTCCCGTGCACATGTGGCTTGTTCAGTGGTGTCCATGCCCAGTATGTTCTGCCACACTTCTATCACCATGTCAAGAAATGAGGCCTCTCTGTTCAGCTCCCAGCTGTGGTAACAGGGAGGCACAGGGCTCTTCCGGTCACAGGGACTTCTTTCACTAAGGCACTTGCAAAGCAGCTCATTAAGGCAGAAAACAAGTCTTTGTCCCTTTAATAAGAAAAAAATAATTAAAAGAAAAATAACTGAGCTGCTGCTAAAAGGAAGACAATCCCAGCTAGACACATTTGGAAACATCATGGCTAGCAGCAGCTTGTTGGTAATGGAATGTTTCCCAACTGCAGCTACCAAAGAACAATGCTGATGGAGACCCTAAGGTCAGAAGGCAACCTCAGAACAGGCCAAGCTGCCTTCTGCTGCTCAGTGTGCATGAACCTGAGCTTCTGGAATAAGCCTCCAGCAGCTGAACACAGTCAGCTCATCTGTTCCTTTAATGTAAGCAGCTACTACCTTCCCTCATGACCTTCTTCTATGATCAGTATCGCATACTGAAGTATCTCAAAGGACTACCTGTGGACTCAACATGTGGGAAGTGGTGCCAAGTTAATCAACTTATTTTGGAGATCGATAACGCTGAAGAAACCAGGAAGGAAAGAACCAGACTCACAAATAAAGATTTATGTTGCTGAAGGACTTCCTGAGCTCCCACCCAGTTCCTGGGTAACAGCAGGTCTTGGGCACATCTGAAAGACAAAGTTGCTGACAACTCCTCCTCTCCAGATATCAGTGCAAGCTCAGCAGCAGTTTTAAGGGATGTCACATCCCCCTTTTTTGCCAACACCTTAACGGCATCGTAGGGTGAGGAAGCCCCCAAATAACTGAAAAGAGATAAAAGCAAATGGACTTGATCAGTATTAAAATATGATTTAAAAATTGTATTGCAACACAATAGGACAAACATACAAATACAGAGAAACATGTATTTTTCACAGGTTCTGAGAGCTCCCATCACATTGCCTTACCAAAGTTTACTATAAAAAGGGCACCTCATCTGATTCAAAGGGAAAAGTCACACAGCCTAATAATCTGGACTGAAACCTCTGCTGGTACATACCATGCACAGCTTGGATGAGAAGTAAACAGATTCAAGATGGAAAGGTTATATGCAACAGTTTATCCCTGCTGCATTTCTCTGGATTTCATCTGAATCCCTTCACAAGAATGGCCACCCTCAAAAATGCCAGAACTGAAACCAGCATCCAGCTAAGGACTATTCCATCCAATATTTTTCAAGCATAACTAGTAATTTTGATAGTCACAAATTTGAAACACTGTAGTTGGAGGAGGATAACTCAATGATGAGGCCTCAAGAAACTCCAGATGAACGGCTGCACTGCACATTTCTGGTGGAAAGGTTGGAAATGTCACAGTCTTTGTAAACATCCTAATCTTAGTCGTGCTCCACTGGTTTTCAAATATTTCTGGTATGTCTGTGGAAAGAAGTGGCTCTGTTGCAGTGTGGCATTTGGACCTTCTGCTCTGAACTGGCCTCTGGAGCTGCTAGAGTATAGTGAGATCAGACTCAAATAGCATCTTAGACAAGTAACAACCAGACCACTTAACAGATTTCACCTGCTATAAAGCCAAGGAACTTTCTTTGTTTCAGGCATGGAACCAATTCTATCTTTGTCCCAGTAACACTCACCATTTGGCAGCCATGGAATAATGGCCATCTTTCTCTAGCAGAGCTGCCCAACTGGTGTAAAGATCCTTCAAAATTGGATCTTCTGGACGCAACCTGGCCTTAGCAATTACAATTGCTTCCCTATTGCACAGAAAAGAAACAAGATGGAAAAGTTAATTGGCTGTGTACAAGTGAACCAAAATGCCAAATCCACCCCACTAAAAAATGAGAACAAATTGTAAACAAATATACAGCAACCTGTAAAAATGGTTCACTTTCAGGAGCTCGACAGCCTCGTACACTTTATGGATGGACAGGAGATGGGAGGCAGCCTTCACATACTGCTCCTGAAAACACAGCTGCTTTGCAAAGGCTTCTACTGTGCAAAGCCAGGCCTGATACCCAACTGAAAAAGAGAAGGCAATACAATTGGAGGCAAAGGTTTAAAACTCAGAATTCCTGTGGGATGTCATCAACACTGGTTTCTTCAATGGGTGCCTTTCCTCTGCCCAAGATTAGCTTCCTGTTTCTTAACCATCCTAATACACATCCCAGAGGCAATGAAACAGGGCAAAGCTTGGGCTTGAACACAACTGCAGAGCTTCACTATCCATAAAGTAACTTAAAAGCATATTTAAACCAACAGCAAGCTGAAAGAACTGCTACGTACAACAAAGAATCAACTCTGTGCTTGGAAGGATGGGCCTGCTCCTTCAAAAAGTCCCCAAGGAAACCAATTGCTTTCCTGCTATCCCAACCTAAGGGTGCTTGTGGAAACATCCAGGTCTTCTGTCATAAATAGGGTATGTGTTTGATGTTTTTTTTTTTTTAATCAGACAGTTAAAGAAGAAAATTTCTTCCAGTCTGGAACAGTCATGAGTTTCCAACCCAGAACAAGGCTACCCTTGGCAGGTAATTCCAACATCTTCTGTTACAAGAACAAACATACCCATGGGTGACATTGCTACCAGCTGGTCTGTCAGCTCTCCCCTCTCAGCAGCTGCCTGGAGGACACCCTTCATATCTCCTTTCCACAACATGAGCTGCTGAAAGAGCTCTGGATGCCCATTCTCCAAGTGATTTTTTCCTGTTGGAAGCGAACACACCTCCTATCAGCATGAGTGCAATAGCATTATTTGTCATAGTAAAATGGTATTACTAGAGATTATTCAAGTGAAGGTATTATAGAAGCTTGCATCTGAGAGACAAAAAATCTTTGGGAAAACCATATCTTGTTCTCATGCAGACCTGCCTCCTTAATCCTACACTTCAATCCACAGTAAAGAAAATTCAAGCATCTTTTCCAATTTGTTTTTTCCTTGAATCTAACAGTTCCAATAGACATACCGTCAAAGTGGATTCATTATTCCACTGACCTTCCACATCAATCATCTCGTGCAGAGAAGCCCTGTCTGCAAACAAGCCCAAGTGGATGCGATCCTTGAGGTCAGGAGACACATCTTCATTGTCACCTAAACAAGATAAAAAGAATGAATATTAAGATTAAACAATTTGCGGATCAACAGAACTTACATCTAAGTCTGACTAGCAGGACACTGTGCAGAGCATTTATTCTAAATCAAACACAGCATGTTCCTTTGCATGCTCTGAAGAACACTATTGTGAGAATATAAGTGTCTCCCTCAGGGCTTGTTCTTTCCTGCCCATATTACATGTATGAAGATGGAAAACACTTGGCACGTGTGCAGGAAATTCCACCCTATCTCCACAACACAGGATCCTACTCAAACCCTGTCTGGAGTGGCTACAGTTTGCTGGAACACTGCAAGAGAAGTGATAAGAAGAAAATATGACTGCAACAAGTCGCACATTTTGATAAAGGTAAGGATTTAAAAAAACTAATGACTAGTGGTCAAAGTTGGGTCCTTGGACAAATGTTTCTGAATATCTTACAGCACCTACCCTCAATATTTTAGTTTTGGACTGATACCTTTGGTTTTTAGACATGTAGCCAGTCTCAAGCAGTCCTGATACAATTCATCTTTTGCTCTGTGATCCATGAATGTGCTGAAAGGTAGCATAGAACGAGGCTTCCTCTTCTTCAGAAAGGCATCAGGAGCTGCAAAATGAGACAGATTTTAGTCACTGCTGCACAGTTATAAGAGCCTCCTACAGCAGAGCTCTCCAACATGTTCCAAAACCCCCTCTTCCTCACACAGGAAAGCAAAAAACAGATGCTTAAGTGCCATGTTCCTCTCTATTATGACTGCTCTGACTTTTGGACTTTTGAATATTGAGCACTTTGCCTACTTTTCTGTCCATCTTGCCTGGAATGAAACTAGCAACTAAAAGGCAGTTTTAAGCCCACATTAAACAAATAGTCAATTGACCTGACAAGTAGAGGAAATAAAAAGAAAAAGGAACTTAAAACATACAAGAGATCTTAAAAGCACATTCCTCCTTCTCCAGCACTTCTTGGTGTCACATTAAACAAATAGTCAATTGACCTGACAAGTAGAGGAAATAAAAAGAAAAAGGAACTTAAAACATACAAGAGATCTTAAAAGCACATTCCTCCTTCTCCAGCACTTACTTGGTGTCACATTAGGAAAGGAAGCTGCAACCAAACAGAAGCCTAGAATGAGGAGCTCTGCCTTGATGTTAAAAGTCCCTGAAATTTACCAACCTGGTTTCTCTTTAGGTGGATCCTTTTTCACAGTAGTGGCTTTCTGGGTCAAAAAAGGCTTTGGCAAGCTGAATGAAGAATGATCATATGCAGATGGAGATGTATCCTTGGACACTGTGGAGTTATAGTGATAAAAAAAAGATGAAGTAAGTAATACTTGACATATTCATGGTCTATTATTTAATTTAAAAATATAGAGAAACTAAGCTTTGCTTTGCCATAGAACTTAATTTAATAGCCTTTTAGGGAAAGGAAATATTAAGCAAACATTACAGAATGGTCAGGAAGCTAAATAAGATGTCAACAGACACTAATGAAACTCCACCAGTGTTGTAAGATTTATCACCAGAAGGCAACACTGATGTTTCAAGTCAAATGCAGTAACTTTGTTTGTTAGGCCAGAATCTTCTTATTTAAAGACAATTAATCCCAAAATAGTTTAGAAAATTATGAAAGACATTCCAGAACAGCATTTCCCAAGTGGACTATTTCACTAAAACTGTAGTATGATAAAATCTCCAAGAAAATACTAATATTTGGTGATGCTCTGAGGGGAAAACAGTCTGGGAACCACTGAGCTCAGATTAATTGATTATTACCAGTCATGGAGACTTTATCAGGCAACTCTGTCTCCAGAGCTTCTTTTTTTCCTTCATGCTCCAACACTCCATTTTCTTCTAGTAGTATTTCCTTCATGTTCTCATCTCCATTCATGGTATCACTTAGATCCTGCTTGGCTGGACTCTTTTCTGCAGGCTTCTTCTTCTTCTTGGATTTGACTTTTGGTTGCATATTTCTTTTTTTCTCTAATTCTATACTCTTTTTGCCTGTAAAAGATTGCAAAAATCAACCTGATATTATCTGTAGAGATTTTTAGTGTATTAGCTGTCTGTCTCCCAAGATCAACATTTGGTTTCCAAACAGGGATACAACTCCATTTAAACCTAGACCAAGTTTATTCCTAAAGAGCTAGCAGGCAGCTTTGGAATTCAACATAAGATCTTATCATACCATTTCCATGTAAAGACCTTCTATTTCCCAGCTCCAACAGCATTTTCAGGAAAGGATCTTCTTTTTGAATATACTTACCCTGAGGAGGCCGTGTATGCTCCTGCTTTGAGATGTGCCATTTGTGGACAGAAAAATCATCTGCTCCTGTATAAACAGAATCTGAATCCACTGGTGACCACTGGACACTCAGTAGCCGGCCCTCATGCCCTCGGTAGTTGCAGAGAGGCTCTTCCTTCATAACATCCCATACCTTCAAAGCAAGAAAGAAATTCAATAACCCAGAGAGTCTCATCTTCCCCTAATCCTTTGCATTTCTCTTCAGTGATTTGCACCTGCAGGAGCTTCTCTTCTAGGGTGTTTGCACAGGTATTTCAAATACCAACACGCAGATGGAAAAATATTCACAGCTTCCTTTGTTTGCATCAATATATTGGCATAACACCTTTCTTTTCTAAGGATCCAAAAGTGCTCATATGAAAACAAGAATGGCTGGACTCACAAACCAATTTGCAGGCCACAAAAGCATATGGATACCTGCATCAGAACCAGGAGATGGTTGCCCAGGGTAAAACTGCAGTTTCTCAGCAGTTTGTGTCTCAAAAGCTTTGCTGTTTAGGCAGTTTGGTTCTAAAACACTGCAGAATGAATGATTTGAAACTTCTGAGTGGCTGTGGAACAATACCTGTGCAGTGCCATCATAGCAAGCAGATACCAGTCTTCCCTCATGGTGGGGGCTCCAAGAAAGACTTGTGATTTTAGCTGTGTGCCCAGCCAGGGTTCGAAAAGGCTCTGTTATTGTCAAAGGACTTTCTGAAGTGCTCTCTGGAAGAAGAAAGAAAAGGATTAAGTATGGCCAGCAAGCCAAACCATGAGTGAACCAAAACAAGATCCCAAGACTTAGAATATAATCTGCAAACTGTTACCTATGACACTCTTCAGATTATGCACATAAATAGTAGCATTGATGGAGCCTGAAGCTATCAGGTAACTCAGCTCTGGCTGGCTCCCATGCTCATGATGCCAACGAATAGCGTTGATCAATTTATGGTGCTGCTGGATAGTGCAGAGCAACTTCAAGTTTGGGGCCTGAAATATCTCAATGGAGCTGAAATGTAAGAACAACAGATTAAGAATTCCAGCAGTCAGTGGAAATGGGAAATCTTTTTGCTATCTTGCATGAGCAGAATTACAGAACATGAAATAGGAGTAACTAAATGAAGTTTTCTATTCTGGATTCAACTCAAACCTTTACTTAGTACATCAGCAAAAGTGCATTTGAACCATAAGTGGATCCTTGAAAAATAATTTGATGTGATAATGTGAATCCTCCATGCCAAGAGTGGTTAAACCAAATAGCAAGGAATGCTGTATTATCACAGTTCAAATACAATGGCAGAGAAATGACAGAAGAAACAGGACAACAAAAAGTACTTTTGCTTCACTGCAGTGATTCTAGTCACTGTCAGCACTGTACTACCTAAACCTCCAACTGAAACATACCCATCTTCATTGCCAAGAGCCAGGAGTTTGCCATCTGGTTTCCAGCTGATCTCTGTATGTGCAGGCAGCTTGTGCTACAGAAAGAAGACACAACTATTGCCAAAAGCTCTTAAATCTTTCTCACATAAATTCAACAGATGAAGACTGGCAACCAGTGAGTAACAAAAGGGTCCATTGCTTTTGTGACAGTGACATAAGCTTAAGCAATTAAGAAAGATGGAATTAACTGATGCAAGAACCAATGATGACTTTTATCAGTTCAGTAAAATGTCTGAAAGGAAGTTTGTCTGGATTCCAGTAGGACCTTGATGCTTGATTTCCTTATGCTCTTTGGAAAGCCTCAGACATTTCAAGGAAATTCCATCATATTTCAAATTAAATAAAAAGTTTACTTGCAATTATTTCTATTCTTTCTAATTCAGATGAAAGCTACTTACAATTTAGATGCCTGTGATGTTAATCTCTTAATTCTCAGTGAGTCTTCTCCTTAGGGAAGAAGCCAAAACCCAGCTGATATCATAGCTCGAAATCATACTCACTTTGATTGAATTAGTGTCTCGGATGACTTTATTGATGTCATTTGCCTCTCCATTAAGCTTCCAGGGGTTGTGTTGAAAAACAATACCTTCTCCAGCACAACTATATAAAGTTACAGAGGGCTGTTCACCTTCTCCTCCTATCCAATAGAGAAAAAAAGCTAAATACACTATGTTCTTCATCAGTCTTAGCAGAAGTAATCATTCCTACTATAAACCAAAATACTATTTTAAAAGACTGTATATTTGCTTCCATTGCCTTTGATCCAGCAGCAAGAAATTATCACAGTACAATCCTCTGAAAGGACCTCTCACTTCTACCAGTAGATCTTGTCATAGTACTGTCACTACGAGCATTAAAATTCCCTTTAAAGTTTGGTTCTTAAAAAAATTCAAGGTATGTAAGAAGAGCTAACGGAGCTGAAGCTACTACAATTAAAAAACAAGACACTGTTTTCCTCCATTGCAAAACTATTTCCAGTTCCTCAAGCAGGATGCATTCTTAGCTGCTAGAAAGGATTGCTACCTAGCAATTGGGCTCCTTTTCCTAAGATGGAGGGCATAGGAACTTTGTGTCATCTGGGTGCTCTGCAGGAATGTCACAGGGTGCTGGAATACTCACCAGAAGACAAAGGAGGAGTTGGAGGCCCCCAGGCTAATGTGTAGACAGTCTTCTTGTGGTAAGTACTGGAGATCTGAGGTGGCTTATTCTTAGCACTGGGCAGGAAGACAAGGAAGCAGGGACAGTCAGACTTCAAAGTGAAATTCAAAAAACCCAACACAACAAACCCAAACAAAAAAAAAGCAATGTCATTTAGGGGTGAAAACAGACACCAAGTGCTTAACACAGCCATGGCTCAAGCAAGCCTTCTTTAATATCTCCTCTAGGACACTACCAAAATTGTAATAAAACTGTCCTGATGATCTCCACCTGCATGTTACTCTTCAGTCTTTGAAAATGTCTTTCAGTGATGTCCTCCCACAGGTGATCTCTGGTCATGCAATGCTGACTTTACCTTAAGTAAAGATCACCTTAGAATCTACCACACATCATGGAAAGATTAAAACATGCACTGAAAATCCAACTGTTTGACTAGTTTTAATTTAACCCTACTCTTACCTAACAGTAAAGATACAGCCTAGGAAAGGCCACACCACCTGTGCACAGTAACATACCCAGCAGAATCTGACACTTAATGAATTTGTAAGCTACTTTCTTACCTGGTGGAGAAGGTGTCAAATATGCCAACTTTTCCATCATCTGTTCCAAAAGCCAAGCAGCCTTCTTTAGTTGGATGCCAGGCTAACTGCAAGCAAAACAGAAAAAGGCCCATAATGACAGAAGCTACAGAAACTTTATTTCTAAATAGTAAACAAAGAGATAACATTGAAACTAATGAGCAAGCACCATCCTTTATACTACAGGCACTTGATTTGATCCCTCTACTATGAGTATCAAAGGGTCTCCTCCTACCAGCTACTGTGGAATGAGATGAAATGGACTAAAATAATTAAAATACTACTTTATATCTGCATTACAAAATACAAGTGAAGAATATTGTAGGATGGTGAGAAAACTTTTGGTGTGGAATAACTACCATGTTTTACTGGTGCCAGCTATTCTAGCAGGCAGTTGCTACTGGCTATCCACTGGACACACCCAGCCTGAAGGCACACATATTGGTTTATGTGCCAGTCAATCTTCTGAGCAGAGCAAGGGCAACCATGGATGAACCAAGGAAGGATCACAAAGGAGAATAAAAAAATATAGTAATGTAACAGTCAGATGGACTTCAGCTGATTTTCACTAGATGCAGTGCAAGCATCCAGGGTTGTGAAAACATCTGGAAATTTGTTGCCAGACTCTAGGACGTATTGTGTGCCAAAAGAATCAAGGACAAAAGGACAACTTGGCTTTACATATTTTTAACTGAGAAAAACCTTCAGAGTAAAAGAAAAATACTCTTCAAAGAGAAAATAGACTGAGAAGAGAAAAAGAGGCAAGGAGAAAAAGAGAATCCAAAGGACACTTACTGCTGTAACCTTGGACTTTATGCTTTGCCAGAAGGTTTTAACATCGTAAGTATTATTCATGGATAAAGTATTCCACACCCGGATCATGCTGTCTCCAACACCAATGGCAAGACACCCTGTGTCCACTGGGGAAAAGGCAAGACTATAGACAAATCCTCCAAGTGAGGGCATGGTCCAGCTACATTCCAGAGTTGACAGGTCCCAGCACTTCACCTGAAGAATATTTAAGGAACAAGGAATGGTTAAACGTAGAGTGAGTGGCATGACAAGAAAAAACAAAGCAAGAGTGAGATGAAGAATCAGAGGGTCAAGTTCAAGGCTTGACATTGTATGTGATCCACACCCAGCAGTTTACATGTCACAGGCAGGGCTACAGCAGTTGGAAGACTGTAATGGAATGGACAAAACAGCTATATTTTGATTATAGAATAGTCTGAGTTGGAAGGGACCTTTAAAGGTAATCTAGTCCAACCCCCTGCATTGAGCAGGGACATAATACTAAGGTCCTCTTCTGACTTGAAAACAACAGGGACTCTGCTGCCTGTGAAAAGCAGAAAGTTTAAAATAATATAAAAATATAGATGCTTTCATTTGTACTAATAGATTATTCTAAGAAGAGAAAGTAAGCCTTTTAAAAATAAAACCCAGAAAAGAGATGGTAAACTCCCCTTATTAAATGCTTACTATTTAAGCTCAGAATGTCATAACCATTCACTCCAGTATGGTAAGAGCTTAAGCTTATAAACTAATGCAGATATCCACAACCTGTGTGCAGAACAAATTTTAAGCCATGATGTTATAAAATGCTGCTATAAACCCACTTTATGAGAAAATCTGTGGCCCTAAAAAGGGTAATCTCACTCAGTGAGTAAGTAGGACTGTTAATTGTAGAAATGGTTCTTACATCTCTGTCCATTGAAATGGAAAAAAGGAGCTCTTTGTCTTGATGCTTCACAGAGCTCAGATTGAACACAATCCGGGAGTGATTTTGTCCTTCTGAAGATCCTAGAAGTGTCCACTTGCGTTTTCCAGATTGGGTCAAATCCCAGAGTAGCAATTCTCCTCTGCAGAATTTAAAGTATGTACTTCATTAACTTCAAAAGACTAATATAGGCTATATAGAGACTACATTGCACACTGCAAGTACAGGAGTAATACAGCAGACTCACACCCACTACATGTGCCAGTACATAGAGACACACTCAGGCAATCACCCTAGAGGTGATATCCGTAGTTAACCACACTGAAAACTCACATCCTTTTCTCTCCATAGATGAGCAAAACCACAATTACTACCACTAGCAGTCAATATTTCATTCAATTATCAGACAAATTATGGGACAAACAGTAGTTTTATACTAACTCGTGGCCTGTCTTCTCTCCAGTTATACTGGGAAGGAAGGAGGTGTCAAAGTTTCCTACCCAGTTTTTCCTGACTTATTATTCTGCAGTTACTGACAGTTCCCAGGCTGCTGTGCTCCCTACTTACCCAAAAGAGCTGGACACAATTTCTGTGGAACGACCAGAAGGCCAGTGAAGAGTCAGCCAAATTCGCTCCTTAACAGCAGGATCAACAGCTCCACCTCTTCTCTTTGTGGGTGGCAACTTCAAAGTCATGACACCTAAAGAATCAAGTGGGATCGTCTAGACCTAATACATCAAAATTCTCAGAGAAAACAGCCCTGTGGATCTCAAGTTCTAAGTATGCCTCCCATGCTTTAAATTATTATGTTACCAGATGAAGGCTACAGGTAGAGAGTAACTCTTCCACCATATTGTTACTGTTTATCTCACACTGTTACTTACTTCTGCCTCTAGTACAGCTCCATATTCGTATGGTCTGATCTTTGCTTCCTGAAGCCAGGTAACAACCTTTCTTCGTGGCTGTGTCTTGCTCCCCATTTGGAACTCTGCCATCCTCTGAAGGAACTACTGAATACCATTGAAGTCATATTATTATACCTCAAAATTCAAAGCTTTATTAAATTAACTGAAACTATATTGATTTGTATCAGAATGTACTTTATTGAACTGAAGCCTTTGTGCTACTTACTGACTTTCTGTAAGGAATTCAATTATCTAGGACATTTAGATGGACTAAACATCATTTCTGCATACCTTGGAGCTCATCCTGCCAAGCAGGTAACCTTTCCTCCCCAGGCACAGGGCACCACACCAGACAGTGTATTTCGTCGTCGTGGCCTCTGAGCCGATGAACTATTTCTCTTTTCGTGCTGATATCAATTATAACCACCATGCCATCCTTGTAGCTGAAAACAGAGATTCAAATTAATGATGAGATTCTTGGATCGTTGTGGAGTAATATATAGCTGGATTTCTGAGCTCTTTATCTGGATCACTGTCACCAAGTAGAGGCAGAGAAGCCACATCACAAGCAGCAATGGGACTAGCAGACTACTGGTCAGAGCTCCAGTATGGCACTGGTGTAGCTGCAGCTGCCTTTTCAAGACCAACCAATATATCTGGCTTCAAGAATGACTGCAGTTCATTAATAATACAGCTTTCAGAGTCAAGTCTAATTAAAAAATAGTACTTTTAAGAAACTTCAAAGATGCAAACCAAACCTGGATCTGTTACACCATTAGGGATTTCTGGGTCTTGCAGACCTACTAAATCTAAATGTTGTTGCTGATTTGTTGTACACCAGAAGAAAAGTACAGCCACCAAAACCTCTTGCAATTCACCTTAAAACTGTGTTGCAAAAATTCACAATAAGGTTCTTGCAGCCGAAGAATGGAAAGTAAAACTTAATGAATATTTACCCAATTGCCACCAGATTTTCATTATGAGGAGAGCAGGTGAGACAAAAAACATTCCGAGGCTCCGGGAAGAACTGCTGGCTGTCACTTCTGTTGTGCCAGTAACAAACAATGACACCTTTTTCATCACCAGACACTATTAGATCTTTCACAAGAGGTGACCAGTGCAATGCTGAGATGGCATTCTGAAGGAAGAGAATTGAATATATTTAAAGCTGTTTTGCCACCATCTAACTCAGAATAACAGGCAGAAAATCGTCTGTATTTCCATCAGTTGAGATTGTTCTAAAGTGTTTCAGTCCTTTTGGGCTTGGGTACAACTGATGTATTTGCAATATGCTGCCCTGAGATACAGTAACTGCTTAAATGTATGTTCTTTGTCCTGTGTGGAACAACTACTTGCTGAACAAATGTTAAGTGAGCTGTTTCAGTGGCAATGAATGTGCTCACCTTCTGAGGTTTTGATGGTAACCAACAGCTTATTAAAGTGATGTAACAGGCCTAAGGCTACAGAAAAAACGCTGGCCAGAAGTGCTCAGCAGTTTTAATTTCACCACATTTGAATTTCACCTTTGGTTACAGAAACATCACCCTGCTCTGTGTGTGCAAGACATACAAAAAACCCACCCCACCCTGGGAGGATTTTCCATCTCTCCCTCTCAGTCCCCACAGCTCCCAGCCACCCCACCTGGGGCAGGCTGTACCCCCAACCTGGGGCAGGCTGTACCCTCACCTGGGGCAGGCTGTACCCCCACCTGGGGCAGGCCGTACCCCCCACCTGGGGCAGGCCGTACCCCCCCCCCCGGGGCAGGGCACACCCCCCAC